TTTACATACATTATTATCATGTTTTTGAAGTTAGAAATAATAAGGTAGTACATACACTCCACCTCATGCATATCTTAATGGTAGTATCAATTTCATTGGGTTTGTATAACACATGCATTGTATTTCATGTAAACAAATCTCATGCATATAATATGTTAGTGCATTTCATATGAGTATGTTTCATCAGTCATAGGCATACATCTCATTACTCATATAGTATGTTATTGTATTTCACATATGCAAATTCATGAATGATATGATTTTATAAAATGTGCATTGTACAAATTGCATTTCATATGAACACATCTCACCTCCATTGTAACATCATGTTGCATCCCATGCATACATATTTACATAGGTGATTTCTACTATATCTTACAATAAAGGCATTTATAATTACACGATATACATATAATGATTTAGACCACATTATCATTTTCTTTTGTTTTCCATCTCTTTTCGCTTTTGTTTGTAGATGACCGTATATTGTTGTACTAAAACTTGAATTTGGTGATTGAAGACTATTGCAATCAATGAAAAAAAGAAATAAAGAAACTTAATCAAGGCATTTTAAAAAAGCTATCTTTAGGGTAATAGTTTTCTCACTATGTTGCAAATGGATTCTTGGAAATATCATTTCCAAGATACAATACCTAAACAGAAAAAAAAAAAAAAAGATTGTGCTTTAAGTTCTTCTTGAACACACAAGAACTATTGAACTTGCAATGGGAGTAATATAGAAAGGTTTAATTCTTTAGAGATTAGAAGTAAAGTTGTGTTAAAGGAACCTTAATGAAAGTATTTGTAAGCCCCGATCAATGGTAGAAACACTTTTCATGAATAAACATGTCTTAGGTGAAAAATCACCACTTTTGTAATGAAGCATCATGTTTAACAGATAAAATTTTTTAATTTTCAGCATGGGCATTTGAATGCCTAAACCATTGCATTCGAATGTCACATGCAGATTTTCACACAAAAATGTGAAACACTACAAGACATTTGCCCACTTTAAGACATTTGACTACCATAAGTAAAATTTCAGTCAAATTGCTTTTAAACTTGTTGATTCAAATTTCCATCAAAATATATCTAAATCCTTTTGCTTCAAATTTTGGTCTTTTATTAGTAGCATCTAAAACATATGCTATGCATCCAAATACTTTAAAATAATCTATATTAAGCTTCTTACTTTTTAACAATTCATAAGTAGATTTATCAAAACCTTTATTCAAAATTCTATTTGAAATAAAACAAGAAGTAAACAAAATTTCATCTTAACAACTTATAGACAAACTTGAATGAAAAAGCATAACTTTTACCATTTCAAGCAATAATCTATTTTCCCTTTATACTACTCCATTTTATGGTGGAGTATTAGGAGTAAAAACTTCTCTAACAATACTATATAATTAATTAAACACAAAAAAAAAATCATTTAAGAGAAATTCATCACTCATATCAAACTTAATCTTTTTATTAGTCAAATTTTCAATTTTTTTTTACTTTGAATTTTTTCAAAGTTTCATCTTTAGTTTTAATAAATGAACGTATGAGTAAATTTTGAAATACCATTAATGAAAACAATAAAATGACGTTTTCCACCTCCACTCAAAATATCATTGTTTTCACATAAATCATCAAATCAATTTTAATAAATAAATTGCTTTGAAAATTGATTTGAAAGAAGATTTTGTAAGCTTTGTTTAAGCACAACATTCACAAGTTTTTCAGCTGAAACAAAAGAAGATTTAGGAATCAAATTATGTGAAGACATGCAATTCAATGCATACATGCTAATATAAGCATAATTGAAGCAACTTTATTGATATTGAGAACATACATATTGTCTTTAGCATATCCTTTCCCCATAAATGATACTTTATTAGAAATGATCACCTTTTGAGAACAAGTACAACTTTGAAACCATGGTCATCAAGTTGATTGCTAGAAATTAAACTCTTTCAAAGATTTGGAAAATGATACACATCTTGCAAAGTTAGAATCTTGATGGAAGTAAGAAGAAGTTTGATAGTCACTTTGCCAACAACTTTACAAGTGGAGGAATTTCCCATGAAGATTGGTTTGTCATCACTAATCTCTTCATAGATCTTGATATCACTTTTAAAAGGAGTGACATGGCAAGTTGCATCCACCACTCTTCTTGGTTATCAACTACTAGGATTTATGTGAGTATTACAGCCATGACATCTTTGATCACTATGCAAGCCTCATTTCTTGTTTTACTTTTACGGAATTGACACACTTTTTCAAAGTGGTCATTCTTTCCACACACATAATAAAGTTATTTCATCTTCTTTAATTCCTTTTCAATATTATTAAACTTTCCCTTCCTCTTTGAAATGTTTTTCTGTCTCTTATTGTGACAGATGTTCTCACCCTTAAGAGAAGACGAAGAATTAGGATCTTCAATGTTATGCACATTGTTGTCCGTCATATTATTAGGGATTCCATCTCTCTTCTAGGCTGCACTTTCAAGTTGGATGTGCTTAACCTATTCATTCAATGTAAGAGCCTTTTATGTGTTTCAAATACCTTTCGTAATCTTTTCAAGATGGATGTAACTTGTTAACGATGGTGGACATTTGAAAAGTTTCAAAAATTGGTTCACTGACATCATTACACTCAGTTGCATTATCAGTTAATTCATTCACTTGATCAATGGTTTAGAATCCATCATTTTAAAGTCCACATATCTCTTCACAAGGAATTACTTGTTTTTCGCATCCTCATTCCTCTTCTCTATAATATGCCATTGTGTTTGTGAAACACAATAAAAAGTGAATTGCTGAATGCTTGAATTATGGTTAGGTGACATATGTAGTCATGTTCAATGCACTTTGGCTGTCCTGTCGTCAATTGTCCATTCTCACTTATAGCCTGTGGATGGTACTCATGAAGAACATAAATAACTGTCATCAAACTTATTTGGTAGTAAATCATCATGCTTCAACTCTTGGAATTTATGCTATTAAAACCTTTCAAGTTTTTCCACTTCATAAACATGAGGCTTGGTTGTAGAACTCGTCATTGAGAAGCACTATTATCCTAAAATTGTTGTATTAAAACTTTGTTGAATTTGGTGATTTTAGACTAATGCAATCAAAGAAGAAACTTAGGCAAGACACTTCAAGGAAACTTTCCTAAGGATAATAGTTTTTCCATTATGGGGCAAATGAAAAAATTCTACAAGGCATTCGACTGCCCACTTTAAGGAATTAGCTTGCCCTAAGCAAAATTTTAGACAGAATACTTTTAAATTTGGACATTTCTAGCAAATTTTCTTTAAGATAATAGTTTTCCCACTATAGTGCAAATAAAAAAAATCCTAAGCATTCAACTGCTCACTTTAAAGAATTTGATTACCTTAGGCAAAATTTTAGAGGGACTGTTTTCAAACTTGGACATTTGAATTCGCTTCAAATGGCATTCGAATCCCTTTACTTTATTTTCGTTCCAAAGCTTATTTATCAACTTCCAATCATTATTTCTCCATCACAAATGCAAACAACATGATTTCAAACCTTTGTATTTTGTAAAAGATGCTGAATACACTTCTTAAAACATATATTTTGGTAATATATACAACATATAGCTAGCTTGATATCGTGTAGGGAAACTTGACATCTTAAGTTCTAGATTTGACATACGCATGTAATGTGTAAAGGAATGGAAAAAAAAATTCACTCCTATTATATCCCAGAAGTGAACTAAAAATACATAACATTACCTCCGGTCATATCAGATAAATATCAAATAAATCTTTTCACTCAGTAAAATCCTTGGTGACTGTATATATTACTCTAGCTCAAGTCCTTCAGTTAGACTTTAAGATTTTTATCCCTTTTATCCTCCTAACAACCAATGTTCAGTCCAAACCTAACCTAAATGAAGTTAAGCCAAGGTAGGGAAGTCAACAAGTGATGTTCATTGTTTTTTTACCTAATAGGATAATACTTATTTCTTCAATTTGCACCCAAAAGTAATGGTTTCATGAATAGAATAATCCATTCTACTTCGGCCTTCATAATGCTAAAATAATGCAGTTCGTCAAAAGAAGTAAACTAACAAGAAAATATGCCAAGGGTAGAAATTTTGCACTCAAATGTTGAGATTTATTGATCCATATCAGAATTTGGTTTTCGTTTTCCTAGCACTTCAACCTCTCATAATTTCGAGATGTCTTTCCTCAATTGATCAAATTATAGCTCTGAATGAAATACTAACTACGTTGTAGGCATCGCAGACAAATTAAATATAAGCAAAAAATCAGAAGCGTTATGACGGAGAGGAGTTGGGGCTATCCTGAGGTCAGTAAAACTGGAAAAGGGGGACTCAAAAAGAGCAAAAAGAGCAAAAAGAGAAGTATTCATGAATATTAACAAAACAACATTAATTAACTACAATCGCAAGGTATGATGCAGAGTTTTCTTGGCAGAGCTGAGTATTTCTCGTCAGGAAGCTCTCAGCACTAAAGTGTTCAATGGAGTTTCAGCCGCTTCTCTCTAGGTCATTGCCCATACTGTGCAAGCATGGTGCAAACATAAATGTCTCAAAAGTCAAGAAGATCGCAATTTTGGTTCTGGAAAGAGTGTGAAAGAGTAGCACCCCCTCCACCAGCTCCAGTCAAAGTTGGACTCGGGCAATAAGAAAAGCACAATCAAGTTTAAAACATAGCAATAGCAAGAGAAATTAAGAAACATAAAAAAAAAAAAAAAAAAATTCATTGCCATGCAAAAAACAAAAGAATCCAAATGCAAAAGGGGGTTAGAAACTTTCGGTTCATATATAACTTGTCCCAGCTCCCAGCTGTAGTCCCCATTTCTCACAGTTGGTTTGGTACACAACAACACAACCCCCTCCAATCCCCACAACTCCAAGCCAAAGTAGCTGAGAGTGTCCATAAGCTCAAAAAAGCTGTCCCAATCCCTGTACGTACATAAACCAAAAACTTCTTTTTCTCTCCTTCCTTGCATGACCCCATTTGTCAGTTTGTTAAGTCTCTCTCTCCGGATGGCGTGTCAAAGCAGATTAATACTTCATAAACATAACCAAAATTTTTTAAGGAGAAGAAAAAGATAAAACAATCTTTAGAACCCGCCCTGAAATCGATTGATCGTTGAAGGATGATCCAAACGCTGCTGTGTCCCTCCTGCATAGCTCCTACCCAAATTCGGTCCTTCTTCCTGATTGCTCAGTGACACGTCTCTACCTCCAGCACCTCCTCCTCCTGATCCGCCAAAGTCCGGCCCCCGACTTGAACCAGGCCCGAACCCATGTCCAACAGGCGCCCCAATGCAAGTATAGTTAGAATCCGGTGCACCTTGGTAGTTTAGGTCTTGCTGAGGGTACTGTGATGAACTGCTGGTCCCGAGGACATGTCCTATATAATAGTCGTTCATGGGGTGAGTTGAGTATGGGGAAGGGTAGGAGTTGAGCCGTGATGGTGATGGGTGTAAATATGGCTGCGGTGGCTGTAATGTTGGTGCCATGAGCGTTGATGAGGAACCAGAGAACAATCTTGGTGGGTAAATTGATCTGAATGGTAGAGTTGGATCACCCAAGCTGCCTCCTGGATGATAGCTTGGATGGCAGCTGCAATGATAGGAATATTTCATGTTTTTCCTCAGCTCAATATAATAAGTAGAAAGATTAGTAATAATCATGACCATGAGGCATCAATATAACTTAAAATGAATTCCATCAAATGGCTCTCTTCAATATAACTGAAAATTAATTCCATCAAATGGCTCTCTTCTTTAGTGCGAAACAAGTACCTATAAGATCTAGAAATCAAGTGGGTGTATACTAATATTTTTGCTCCGGCATTTGATTTCTAAAAGAATCGAGTAAAAGCAAACCCGAAATGAAAAATGAAATGATGAAGATGAAAAGAAGCAGCAGAAAACATTAATGTCAATCTTGAAGGAACATACCCTAGATGCCCTTGAGAGGCCAAGTTATCGTTATTGAAGACCAGCTGGCGAGCCCGGTTCAGTGTCTCTGTCTCCCTTTCTGACCACCCAACAACAACGCAAATCAAATCGAATCAAAAGTACTCATCAACATGGAAAACCAGACCAAGAAATTCAGCAACGAAACCAACTTAGTTTTCATCAAGATTGACATGACCACGCTTCATGGGCAAAGCCATTATAACAACCTCTGACGATTCCCTAAGCTTGTGCAGTAAAATGAAGACAGTGACTTGGCTAATCTACCTCAAAACATGAGTGGAATAAAGAAGCGAAATGACTTGCCTTGGCGGTGCCGGTTCATGTGTCCCCCGAGAGCTTGTGATTTGCAAAACTTGAGGGAACAAAACCTACATTCATAGACCTTCCCGCTCTCATCTTTCCCATCCGTAGCGCCGCTTTTCTTTTTCGTAGGGCCTGCTTCAGAGAGCACCAATTAAAGCAACTTCGATGAGACCATTCTTGGCCTAAAACTCGAACCCTAATTTACCCAAATCGTGTATAAATATGAACAATTAATTGTGATTTAAACCCTCAATCTGTTGCTCTTCTTTTCCACTGCTTCCTTTTTTATATATTTTGATCATTTTAAAGCTTCAAAAGAAACTTGTGCTCATTTTAAGCTTATAACCACAGCTAGTCTATTCTACATAGAGCGTTGAAGAGCGTGCTTAATTTTCTTTTCTTTGTTGTTGTTTCAAGTTTCTTAATGTTTATTACTATTATTATAGTAGTATTTTGTTCTGGAAAAAATGAAAATAAAAAAAGGAAAAACTTTATATTATCTTGTGAATGTTGATTATACATAGCAGTAGAAGGAGAAAATTGTGAATATACCGGAGGTGGAGGAGCCCTCCTCAAAGACCTGTTTACCATCCCTATTGTAATCATCGGGCAAGTTGTTGAGGTCTAAGGGGTTCTTCTCGGGTCTCCTGCAAAAACAAAAAGATGAACAGAATCATACAGAAATGAATTGTGAAAAGGGAGAGAGACAAAAAAAAGGGGAGGTTAAAGAGAAAGAGAACATGAGATAGAGGAGAAGATAAGAAACAGGTGTGAAGGAAGGATTGTGTTGATGTGGGGAGGCCTACATGGTACAGACAGAGAAAGACAGAAAAATGTGAGGTAAACAATCTTTCAGATGGGAGGATAACCAAAGCTTTAGAAAATTATAAGACTTCAGTTTGAGACTGCAATATAGAGGCTAGTTGATTGAGGGTGGAGAAAAAGGAGGTTTGAAAGTTCTCTATCAGTTTCTCTGCCACCCTCTCTCTTCTCAAATTGAACGAACAATAGGGGACAGTGGGTCTCGTGACTTTAAAAAGGGAACGGTGAGTGTTCATGTTTATGGAGTCTCTAGGCATGGCGTTTGTAGTGATTTAGCTGCTTTGAAAGAAGGACGTTTGTCTCAGTGAAGAGGGCCTATAGAGGTCTATTGCCCTACAAACTAGTTCCATGAAATAATAAAAATAGTTACTGGGATTGCTAACAGGATTTGCCATAAAAGGTTTGCAGTCAAACACCCCCATGAACTCAAGTCCTTTGCACAATAAGGCATTCATTTAAACAAAAGTTTGAACAATCCAAGATGATGGAAATTTTTAGGACATGGTTTCAATTCAAGGCCTATCTAGCCCTAAAATTAAGCTGCGATCCACAAATTATTTGAAGAAGTGGGATGCTAAAAGTTTAATGGTTGGTCCCCCTGTAGCTGTAAGGCTTCCTGGGCATCATTGTACCTGAGCTTTGCCATGGAACATGGAACTGTTACTATCAAGATCTCATTATCAGGTTTTTTGTGATCTAAGTTGGGATATAGACTAAACCCCACAAAAGTGTTGTTTTATTCTTTGGAACTTGGTTGCTTGATCAGGGTCCTTTTCGATCAATATAAAAACAAATAGTTATTGTGCTTTGTTTTCTTTTTTCTTTCTTTCTTTCTTATTTATTTATTGATAGTAAATGTAGAAATGGGTATCTTATTCTAGATTACAGCTACTCTCTGCATCTGTGCCCCCATCTCGATATTTCTCTATCTTTTTCTTCTGTACTGTAAACTCCTCCAGGACCCTCTCTTGAAAACTATTTAAATTAAGATCGCAAGTAAGCTATCAAAGCTATTGAAAATTCATTTTTAAATATAAAAAAATTGATTAAAGATCAAATCTTAATGATATCAAATACCAAAAAAAATTAATAACAAAAAACTATGGTGAACAATAAAATACCAAAAATACAGTTACGAGAATTAGAGGGGATCAACTTAAAATAATTTTAACCACTAAGAATTTGATTTTTTTTATGAAATTATAAGTACAAGTTATAATTATAATTAAGTATTATATTTATATATAAAATATCACTGAATGATTAAATAAACAAATTAACCAAAAAATTAGTTCATAATTAACCAAATTCAAATAAAAATTGAACCTAACTCACGTAAAATAAAAAAATATCACTGAATAATTAAATAAACAAATTAATCAAAAAAATTAGTTCATAATTAAACAAATTCAAATAAAAATTGAACGAAACTCATATAAAGTGGGATTTAAATCTAAGACTTTAAAATTTAAAAACCTCCTCCCCACTAGTATGTCAAAACCTCATTAGCATTACCAATTTGATATCTAGCTACTAACAATTTTCTTTTTATAATTCTATGTCGTGTTTAAAAGTGATTGTATTGGGAAAATTATTTATAAAAATTTTCGTTTGCAACAGCTTATTAAAATAAATTATATTTACGACAAAATATTAATATATTGTTGCAAGCACCTATTAATAGCTACTAAAATTATCTCGTGCCTCAAAGAGTCTTTTTTTTTTATTATTTTTTTGAATGATTTTTAATTCTTGTATTTATATTTTTCTTGCATATATATATGTTAATATATATCTTACAATCTCTCATATATTAGAAAATAATATTAATTAAATAGTTTATTTATTCATATTAATCATATTATTGTTCATAGATCAATTAAGTACATTTCAAAATGTCAAAATTGGCAACATTATAGAAATTCAAAAAGATTTTGTGGCTTGCTCGAGCAAAACCGTTTTTAAAGAGCTGTAAAAAGAAGTTAAAATATTGTTTAGTAAACTTAATATAAAGGTGTTGTAGAATGTTGAAATCTATTTAATAGTAATTTTGTTTTTTTAATAAGTAAAAAAATAAAATAGTCCACTTTATTAAATTAAATCACAAATTTTTATGTGAAATAAATAAATAAATAAATAAAAGGATATTTTTGTTAATTAATTAAAATAAAAAATAAATGAAATCAATAGAAAAAGTAGTACAAAATAAAAAAGAATGTGAAAAAAAGTAATTCTCATAATTTTGTGAATTATTGAAATGTAAAATAACAATGTAAAACAATCATTAAACATTTATTAATAAAAGGATTTATATTTAATGTACAATCAGTATATAAATTTTATACATTATCAGTGAATTGGATAATGCCATCTCATTAATAAAGTGAATAAAATGATATTACCTCATTAATAAGTAAGTTTTTTTTAATATTAATTTTTATATATTTATTTTAAGAGCTGATATTTGCTCATAATGAGATAGTATCATCTGATTTATTGATAGCGTATAAAATTTATACACTAATAATATATCAAATATAAACTCTTAATAAAATTAGCACTTCTTAAAGAAATTTGGATTTATAACATTGTCTAAAAACTTAAATATGCTTTTCACGTATGCCAAAAGTTCTAAAATTTTGAGAGTCAAATACTTTGTTTTTGTTTTTGTTCAAAGGTATAAGTATAAAAAAAAAATATAAAGAAGTAAAATTAAATAATAATCTAAATTCTTATCATTTTATTGCAATCAATTAAATTCTCAAACATTTATTTTCAGTAATTAAACCCTTATTAGACAAAAATTAGGTGACCATCAACATCTTTTTATGTCCAAATGGTGAGCTCAATTAGATGAAAATAAATATTTAAGGCTTCAATTGTATTAAAAAAAGGTTTGAAATCTCAATTAATTGCAATCAAACGATGAAGGCTTAAATAATTATTTAATTTTTGTTTAAATTGTTTCATATGTAAGCCTTTTTGTCAAAAGAAAAGTTATTCCATAATCTGAGCCAAAACCCTCATGTAGTGTTCTTTTTTTTTTATTTTTTTTTCTTGCTTATAATTTTAAAATAATATTCATGCCAAAACATCCAACAAAGGCGAAAATTAAAGAGCAAGTACATGTTTTCACAGACCTCAAATTTACATATATGCATGACAAATTTTATGAATGATGAACAAAAGTTGCATGAGAAACCTTCACCGTAACGATTTGGAGAAAGTATCCAAACACATGCTAAACACTCTTGTCTCAAAGTCAGACCAGCAGGTGGATTCATTGCCATACCTGCTTGTCACTTATCGGCTTTTGCCTTACTTCTATAACATTCTTTAATCTAGACGTTTTGGCATTCTTCTTGAACCATCCCAGAGAGAAAGAGAGTAGGAGAAGGTATATCTCTGGTTACTGATTGGAATCCATGGAAGTTATATTTCCAAAAATTTTTTTCACTTAGATTCTCTTTTTTTTGGTAAAATTACTTGTATACTATGTAGTATTTTCAATTCATTACTCATCCTCTTAAAAATCGCATAATTGGGAAATATATTTTCTTAGGAAAAGAAAACTCATTGATGATGAAGTAAAGAGGCACATTACAAGGAATTTAATTATTAGTATTTAGCAACAAGATGTTCTTTCAGCATTGGGGATAATGCAAAATAAAATTTGCAATGAAATTGTGCATATTTTTATTGCAAAATGTAATTTGATATGCTATACCTGCACAAGTATGCGTATGAATATTCTCCTCTCCTCTAATGCGAAAGCAGATTAAGCTAAATTTGACTAAAGGCTAGTTTAGCATTACTCTTACAGATAAAAATGTTTAAGTTGAAAAAATAAAGTATGTTTAAAAGTACAGTAAAAAAAGTGTGATTAAAATTTTTAAATATTTAATATTGTTGTGAGAAATATAGAGAGTAATTGAAAATTGAAATATATAAAAAAGATACGTATAAAATAATAAAATATAAAAAAATAAGATAATATAATTATTTTCTATCTCAAAAGTATTTTTTTTATCACAAAACACTTCTTAAGTATTTTTTTTTTTTGGCAAAACCAAGCTTTCAAACAAAAATATATATATTTTTTATTGTCTAGCATTGAGATTAGGTCAAAAACAACTTTCCAACGCAAAAAGTACTTTTAACATCAATCTAAATTAGGCCTAGTTAGTGTTTAGCCTAACTTACAGAAAAGCTTATCTATTGCAAGCAAAGTCATGTGTTTGGCTTTCAAATTTTTTAAAATTTTAACTTATTCTAGAAGCAAATTTGAACTTTTAGAAAAAGTTATAAATTGGAGTTTCTTCAAAAAAATGATAATGAAAATTTTTCTATATTCTCAGTTTACTTTTCAATAATTCACAAAATGATAAGTAGCATTATATTATTTTAAATTAATTTTTTATTTTGTTCATTTTTCTATTGAATTCATTTATTTTTTTATTATAATAACAAAAATATGAATTTATGGTATTTATGAGTTAATAGCACTCAAGATCTCTAAATTTTGAGTTAAATTATATTTTAATCTCTAATTTTTAAAAAGTTTTAATTGGATTCTCAATTGTCCAATGTCCAACTTTGGTTATTTCGTCTATAGAAATGTTTAAATTAACAGTAAATGCTAATTGGACCCACATGGATAGCTTCAGCTAGCATATTAGGTGATAGACGGAGAAATTAAAATAGAATTTCGCTCAAAGTTTAAATATCAAAGATATTATTATCTTAATTTTTTTTATATTCTATATATATTTTATAAAATATTAAAATTTTAAAAAATATTTTTATATTTTTATTGTAATATAATTTATTAGTTAATTTTTTTAAAATAGAATAAAAATAAAAATATATTATTTTAAATTTAATATTTTATTAAATATATTTAAAATATAAAAAACTTAAGATAATAATATCTTTGATCTCTAAACTTTGAACGAAATTTTATTTTGGTCATTCACTTTGTCATATGAGATGTCAACTAATGCCATTCACGTGATGCCAGGTAGCATTTATTATTAATCAATTTAGATTGTTTTATAGATGGAACGACCAAATTAAGTTGGATAATTTGGACAATTAGTTATCTAATTAAAACTTTTAAAGAATAAAAATAAAAATAAAATATAAATAAAAATTTATGGATCACATATGCTTTTTTTACTTATTATTTTTCAGAGTGTTTTACTAACAAATTCTCTATAGACACTATTTAAAGTTAATTAAAATACAATTTATAATAATATTTTTATATTAAATGCAACATATAATTGACCGTTAATGAAATGAATTCTAATGTATTTGAGAAAGATATAATAGTTGAAATAATAATTTCATGTTTGATGCATAGAACGATAAATAAGATAGAATAATAATTATCTTATATTATATTTGGTTGTATCTGCAGAAAGAGTTAGGATTACTAAGAAAATTAATCATTTTCTTAGGATAAAATTATTCAATTCTCCTCAAGTAAAAAGAATTATTTGTAATTTATAGGATTAAATTAACATGTCTTATTATACTCTTAAAAATTACATCACTAATATAAATTGTATAAGCTTTGAGAAATGATAAATTTAATTAATAAATAAATTATCTTATCATTATCCTTACACACATTCAACATAA